CCCTGCTTCGAGAAGCAAAGGAAGGTATAGGGCCCAATATAAAAGAAGACTAACCTCTCCCCTATTTCGATCGTTTTTCCGACTTCTACTTAACGCTAATAGAAGACGGTTCCTATAGAGCGTTTATAGTAGGCCGGCTCTTTAAGCTATAGCTATTAGCAAGGAAGGTATATAAAAGAGACCTCCCGGACCTACTAGTAAACTAGAAGCAGCTAGAAAAACACCCCTTTAGAGACTAGTTTTTCTAGGCCTAGAAAGACTACCTAGCCTTATATAAAGAGATAGGGTCTTTTAAAGAGGTCCTTAAATAAAAGGTAAGAGGAAAATAGGTCCTTAGCTATAAGTAGGTCTTTATCTATAAGACTAATAAATATAGCTTCCTTTAAAAGTATAAAGCCTAGCTAGTTATCTATAGGAATTAATAGGAAAAAGGGGATCTACCTACTAAGGCAACTACCTTAGTAGGGATATCTTTTCGGACCCTTATAGCTATAGTAGTAGAATTCGACCTCGAACTCGATTAAATAGATATAGTTAACGCCTTTATTAACTACTTACTTAAGGAAGAAGAAGTTATCTATATACGCCTTCTACTAGGCTTCTAAGAGCTAGGAAAGGTTCTACGGCTTAGGAAAGCTCTATACGGATTATAAAGATTACCCCTTCTTTAGTAATAGTATTTAATAGGTTCCCTTAAAGCCCTAGGCTTTAAGAAAGTCCCTTAAGAACCGTATATAATATAGAAGGGTAAAATTATAGTCTTCTTCTACGTCGATAATATTATCTAAGCCTACCTAAAAGAGGAAGAAGCTATTACTAGGGAGGCTATATAAGGCCTATAATAAAGGTATAAGATAACTAGGCTAAGGGAGCTAAAGTAGTTCTTAGGGATACGAATCCTTCGGAATAGGTCCTAACGGACTATCTAGCTTACCTAAGACGCCTATATCGATAAGGTCGCTTATAAATTCCTCCCTAATTCCCTCGATAAGAAGCTTCCCTCTATGCCTATATTAAATAAAGAGCTTTTACCTAATCCGTCCTTTTAAGCTAGGGAGTAAGAGAAACACTAATATTAATAGAAGGTAGGCTCCTTGCTTTTTTTAGCTATTTCTACTAGACCGGATATCTCTTTTACGGTCTCCTAGCTAGCTAGGCATAACTAGAATCCTAGCCCTAGGCATTAAGAAGTAGCATATAAAGCTATCCTTTATCTCTATTTAATAAGATTATACGGTCTACGCTTAGGAGGGTAGGGAAGGAAAATAGCTACCGAAATCTTCCTTTATTCGAGCGATTCGTCCTTTACGGATAATTCCTTAGATAGAAAGAGCTTATAAGGGTATATTATATCCCTTTTTAAAGGAACTATTGCTTAGAGAGCTTCGAAATAGGCTACCGTTACGACTTTAAGTACGGAGGCAGAGCTACTAGCTCTTTTAAAAGCGTTAAAAGAAGCGATTTTCCTTAGCCGGCTACTAATATCGTTACGACTATAAATTCTATCCCCGTTAGCTATAGAATATAATAATACGTAGACTATACGGATTCTTATAAAGGAAAATAGTAAGCTATCGACCTAGCTATAGTATATTAATATTTACTAGTATTAGTTACGCTAAGAGGTCTAAAGGGGACTTATTTCCGTCTATTAGGTTCTAACGGCATTAATAAAAGCCGACGGTCTTATAAAGCCCCTACTAAAGTAAAAGCTAGCTATCTTTTTATAGTAAATTAGGCTAGAAGACGTTTAAGAGAGGCTATCCTTAGAGGCCCGCCTTAATAGTCTACGAGAGGAGCTAATAGTATATACGAGAAGGTAACGTCTATAGCTAAAGAAAAGGAAGAGGTTTTCCCTTTAGAGGGCCCCTTATTTAATTAGGTTTTTCCCTTCTAAGAAGGCCCCCTTTCTTATAGGACTTTCCTCTTTAGGCCCCTTTTCCTTAAGTAGGTCTAAAAGAGCCTAGGGACCTAAAAGGCCCCTACTTTCCTCGAGTAAAGGGAGAAGTATAGAGAACCTCCTCTATACGCTTACTAGCCCGAAGCCGTATTAGCTATGCCCTTAAGGGGCAGGCTATAGCTAAGGGGGTATATCGCGAAGCGTAGCCTAATTTCGTAGTTCTTAGAGATATCCCTTAGTATAAGGGACTAAGGAAGCTAAAAACACCCGGTATAGAAAAAGGAAGAAGGAGCTAAAAAGAGGTATAGAAAGGAGGGTAGGGGTATAAGGGGAAGTAGAAGTAGCGATAGCTTCCTATAGAAGTAGCGAAAGATAAGATAGATATACCGGCAACGGCTAGAAAAGAGGGGAAAAAACCGGTAAAAAGCTTAGTAGTTAAAAGGATATTAGTAGCTTCTTTAAGTAGGATCTTCTTTATTAATTAAGATGCTAGATAGGTATAAAGAGGGGCGTTAGATAGAGGAAAGAAGGATAATTAAGAAAATATAATAATTACTCCCCTACCTTTATTGCTGCTCCCGTAAGAATTAAATCTCTTTGCCCTGCCTATCTAACCCCTTACTTTTAATTTTACCTTCGTGCGTTTTATATATATTTCTCGTATCTCTCTTCGCGAGATAAAAAGCTATATAATCCGTCGAATTTTTCGTCGAATTATCTACTTATTAAGCAGCTCTTTAATCTTAGTCCCTTAGACTTTAATTTAGAGAAATACCTTTATAAGGTAAAGGAAATTTATAAGGATTTAAAATCCCGTAATATAGAAATTCTAGAAGTTATTCTTATAGCATAGATTCTTAATTACCTTAATAAGGAATTTAGAAGCTATATTATAAATATTACGTAGAGCCTTAGGTATAATTCTATAGTGTTTACCCTCGAAACCCTAATAGCTAGTCTTTTAAACGAAGTAAGAAGAATAGAGGATATAGATAAATCTTTAGAGAAAGCCTTCTTAATATAAAGGAAGCCTTAAAAATCCTATAAAAATTCTATAGATACTCCTTATTATAAGGAATATAAAAACTAAGGTATTTTATAGTAAATTACTCTAAATTATACCTAAATAAGGCTCCTACTTATTAGGTTTTAAATAAAGGAAAAAAGGATAATAGGACTTAAGTTTCTAAGAAGAGAAAATCTTCTTCTTCTTCTTTTCCTTCTTCTTTTAAGAAGAAATCCCCTTCTAGTAGTGTTTCTACTACTAATAAAAGAAGGAAGGCTTAAATTATAGAGCTAGAGTCCGATTCGGACGATAGTAATAAGGTCTTAAATATAGCTTCGTAAGAAAATATAGACCTAGATATCGACCTTATAGACCTTTCTAGGCTCCGACCCCTATATAAACGTCTAAGGATTTAGAGGTAATTTTAACCTCTATAAATACCCCTATAGTAAAAGCTAATAAAGACTTTCTTTTAGGACCTTTAAAAGCCTTGATTCCTAGAATAAAGGAATTAGTTTTAAAGGTAAGAGAAGGAGGATTTCCTAGTTATAAGAATAAAAGGATCTTTAATTTTATCTATAATACTAGAGCTACTAGGTATATAGTATCTAATATAAATTTCCTTATTAACTATAAAGAAATTAAGTCTAAAGTTTACTAGGGAAAAGCTTCCTTTATATTAGTAAAAGGAAAGGGGGACTTAGTATTTAAGTTCCCGTATAGTAGAAAAAGGTATATCCTTCGAGACTGCTTTTATATACCTAAATTAAGGGTAAATATACTATCCTAATCTTATTTTAATAATACCTATGCCTTAATAGGAGGAAATAAAGTCCTTTTATTAGATAATAAGGCTAAGGTCCTTACTAAAGGATTTCTTAGAAATAAATTATATTATATTCCTATAGAACCTTTATTAGAAAGCTAATCGATCCTTATTACGTTTTTAAAAGTAAAGGATATAGATTTTTATACTTAGAACTTACGCTTAGGGTATATAAATAATAGGGCTATTTTAGAAATATTAAAAAGATATAATAAGGATATAAAAATGCCTTTAAAAGAGGAAAATAAAATAAGGTAATACGAAATATATATTAAAGCTAAAGTAATAAATAAGGTTAATAAATAACCTTCGTATAAGTCTTATGCCTATTTAGAAAAAATAGTATTAGATATTTAAGGGCTAATTAAAGTGCCTACTTATAATAAATATTACTATTATATTTCTTTCCTAGACGTAGGAACCTAATATCTAGAAATATACCTTCTTCGAAAAAAGGGAGAAGCTCTAGATAGGTTCCTAGAATTTAAAAATAGGGTAGAAAATAACCCTAAAAATACTAGGATTAGAGAAGCATTTTCTAATAATACTAAAGAATTTATATATATTATTATTATTATTATTAAGATTATACTAGTAACCTATCTAAAGGTATCTAGAACTTCGACGTTAAATAAGAGGGAAAAACTAGAGTGCCTAGGGGAAAACCCTCCCCTCTTTTATAGCTAGTCCGCCCTTATACCGGGTCGCGGTTATAATACGTAGGAATCTTACGCCGGCTATCTTAGGTATCGTTATAGTTAGTCGGAATCGTATTAGCCCGCTATAAAGTAACCTTAGAAAGTAACTCCTTTACGTACGCGGGGTATATAGCGTTAATCGGTAGTACGAGCGTTTTTTTTTTAGTTAACGGTTAATAGTTAATTATATAATTATCTCCGACCTTATCTTATAACGATATCTTCCCGGGCTCTACCTTGTTTTTCCGCCGTAAGGCTTAGCGGGCTATTTTTTTATTAATGCCGGCCTTTAGCCGGGCCGGTAGTTAGGTTATCGCACCGGCTTCGCGCCGTACTTATCGAGTTGCTAGTATCGGCCCTAGGTTTTTGTTTTCCCGGTCGGGGGGCCTAGACCGGGGTTAGGGGGAGGTCCTAACGAATTCGTCGCTAGGTCCGGGTAAGCGAGGTCCGGGCCGGCCCACTTACAGCGGGGCTAGACTGCTAGTGTATTTATAAGCGCTTCTAGAAGCGCTAATTAGCTAATTAATAAGCAGGTTAGCGTAGTCTACTAGTCCGACTAAAAATTAATTGTGCCCCCGGCCGGATTCGAACCGACTCTAGCGTTATAGCTAGCAGGCTTCCTAGGTATATAACCACTATACTACGAGGGTAAATTTATATATAAAATAAAGCTCTATTACGAAAAAGAAGGGATTACCTTTAATTCTAGTCCTCCTAGGACGCCGGAATCTAATAGTAGAATAGAAAGAATAAATCGTACTATATTAGAAAAAGTACGAGCTCTTTTATTTACTACTAGGCTTCCTAAATATCTATAAGGAGAAGCTGTTTTAATAGCTACCTATTTATATAATAGCTTACTATATTCTACGATAGGATTTAAAAGTCCTATAAAAAAAAGGGATAATATAATACTACCCTTTAAGACCTTAAATAAATTTAAGACCTTTAAAAGCTTTATATATTATAAGAATAAAGACCTTAATGATAAGCTAGATAATAGAGCTTTTAAGGGAATAATAGTAGGCTATTTAGAAAATATATATAAAATCTAGGATTTTACTAAGAGAAAGATTACTATCTCTAGAGATATTACTATACTAGAAAATAAATTTATAAAAAATCTAGAAATTTCTAGTAGTAATAATACCTTTGATTTTAATTATATTCTAAATAAAGATAAGCTAGAAAGCTATATCCCTATAGAGGAAGCTACTAAAGAACCTAGAGATAAAAGTCCCTTGCCTTTTATAAAAGAACAGTCTTTAAATAATAATCTTATTCCTACTACTAGTAAAATAGTAGTAGAATTACCTAAGAAGCTAGAAGGGTTTAATTCTAACTATATCGAATACCCTAACGTTAATTTATTTCTAAACTACGATTTTATAGAGTTAATTCTAGCTAGTATAGAAAATTAGGATCTAAAAATTCTAAAGACCTATAAATAGGCAATAAATAGCCCTAAAGTAGCATTTTAGAAAGAAGCTATAATTAAGGAAATTAGCTAGCTAATTAAATATAAAACTTAGGAATTTTCCTACCTCCCTAGGGATAGGGAGGCTATAGGAGGCCGCTAGGTCTATACTATTAAGAAGGATAGTTAAAATAATATAATAAAATATAAAGCCCGTTTCGTAATATAGGGATTTAAGTAGATCTATAGCTTAGATTTCTTAGATACCTTCTCGACTATAGCTAGACCCGAATCTATTAGAATTCTACTTATTTTAGCTATTATCTACGAATTTAAAGCTTTATAGATAGATATAATACATGCCTTTATATATACCGATATAGATAGCGAAGTATATATCGATCTTCTTATAGGCTACGAAGAATACGCTCTTAAAGAATATTATTTAAAATATAGATTAGCTTATAGAGCTAAAGGAATTAAATTAACTAAATTCCTAGACCTATATAAAACCGGTTAAATTAAAGCAAAGCTAAAGAAAGCATTATATAGCTTAAAATAAAGTCCTAAGCTCTAGTATAATTATTTAAAAATTATACTAAATAATGTTAGATTTCTTCCTCTTTTAATAGATAAAGGAGTATTTATAAATAAGGACTATAGTATAGCCTTAGTAATTTACGTCGACGACTTTCCTATAATAGGGCCCTTTAAATCTATAATAAAAGAAAGATTATTTAAAGAATTATCTAAATTCCTAGATTTTACTATCTTAAGAGATATAAAAGACTTCTTAGGTCTAAATATTATAATAAACCGAGAGAATAAAGAGCTATATATATCCTAAGAAAATTATACCTTAAATAAATTAAAGGAATTTAATAAAGAAGGTTTAGGAACTTTAAATTTACCCGCTATAGTAGGCTTTAAGCTTATAAAAGTAAAGGAATTACCTTTTAAGGAAGGTATATTATAATTTTAGAAAGAAATAGGATCTCTATTATACTTAGCTTTATTTACTAGGCTAGATATCTTATATTCTATAATTTCCTATACTAGATTCGCGGCTAAGCCCGACTAGACGTATTTTAAGGCTTTAAATATAATTTAGAAATATTTAAATAAATTCCCTAGCCTAAAGATTAAATATAATTATAATATCCCTTTTACCTATCTATATATAAAGGGTTTTACCGACTCTAGCTAAGCGTTAGATTTAATAGACGGAAAATCCTTTTCTAGTTACTATTTTTATATATATAATAATATAATAAGCTAGGCTTACTCTAAGTAAAAGGCTATTACCCTTTATACCTACTAAGTAAAGTATATTAGCCTTAGGGAGGTAAATAAAGAAGCTATTTATTTAAATATACTTTTTAAAAATATTACTAAGGATCTATCTATTAAGATTCTTAATACTATACCTCCTATTTTAATAGATAATACTACTACTATTAAATTAGTAGAAAATCCGGAATTTTATAAAAGGTCTAAGTATATAAGATTAGCTTATTACTATACTAAAACTAGTATAAGAGAAAGGGAAATTAGAGTTTTTTATATTAAATTACAAGATAATATAGCTAATATTTTTATAAAGGAATTAAGACCTAGATTACTTTATAAATTTAGAGACGGTCTATCCTTAATATAAGTTCCTAAGTAATTAAAAGGGGTTTTTAGATATTTCTTATACTTTCTATATCTTTCCCTTACTAGGTTTTTCCTTTTTAGGTCTCCTAGAGAAATATTTACTAGGTTTTTATCTATTAAGATTTTCCTAGTAATAATAGGTTTTACATTATATAAGGTTATCCTATAAATAATTATTATAACTATAGAATTTTCCTACTATAGGTTTTTCTATTAGTATATACCTAAGGATTTTTTTCTTAAGAAAGAATAGGTTTTTATATATCTTATTAAGGTATAAGAATAGTTTTCCTAAATTAGGTTTTTACCCTATATATATACTACTATAAATAAATTAGTAAAGAGTATATAAATCTACTCTTTAAGGGAGGCTATAAGGAAAGGTGTTCCTACTATAAATAAAGTAGCTATAATATACTCTCCCGATTATATAAGCTAATAAGTAGTATATTAATTATAGATAAAATCTTATCCTATAGAGTAAGAATCGCTCGTTACTTTATATATTATTATATATTAAATAGGTTCCCGGTTATCGTATAATTAGGAATCGAAGGAATAGAGCTAGCCTAGAATACTAGCTAAGACCTCTTAAGACCTCTTAAGAATACTAGTACGACTAACCTCCTTTAAACACAAATATTAATAGAACTAAGATACTTCTAGATATACTTAAGGTATTACGGAATTCCTTAGTCTTAGGGCTATACGGCAGCCTAAATCTAGTCCTAAAAGGTTCTTCCGTTTAGCTATAACTGTCTATATAAGATAGTATGTCCGCTAGTAGATAGAGAAAAAATTATTAACTTTAATACCTCTTCTATATACTAATATATTACTAATAAATTCTATTAAATATCCTACCTTATACTCCTTCTTCCTCTCTATTACGTAGTCTTATATAATTCCTTAATTTCCTAAAATTCCGCTTTTACTTATATACCTTAAGAATAATAGAACTATATCCCACCCCTTAGTTTATATATAAATAAGACTAGCGCTCTTACTTTAAAGCTACTTACTTAAATAAAACCCTTATTTAAGAGGTCCTTTAGCGTCTTTTTTAGTACTAGTAGCTTTATATATAATATACTATATAGCGGTCTAAACAGTATAGGTAGTTCCTTCCCCTTTTTATTAATATAAAGTACGATCCTATAATCTACCCCTAGCTTATATAGGTTAAGCTTATTTACTTCCTAGGACTTAAATAGCGGTAGGAGGTTATAAAAGCGCTTTAGTATTTACTATTATAGCTTAAAGGGCGACTTTAGCTTCTTTATTTAAAGGGCCTTATCGATATCTACTAAGCTAACTATATAAACTACTATATTAGCTACTACTTAGCCTTCCTCCCGCTCTACCTATTATATAGTTCTTATAAAGATAGAGGTAAGGACTTCTTAGGCTAAGTATAAAGCTTATACGCTTAGTCTAACGCCTATAGAACTATCGTTATAGTAGACCTATTATTATATAGGCTTAAACTATAGCTTCTTTTAATATAGAACTAAGTATAACTCTATATATAATAACTAGGGTTTCCTAAGGATTAAGGGAAACTCTAGTTAAGGGATTATATAGGCTATAATAAGCTTATAGTAACTATTAACCTTTATAGCTAGCTATATAATACCCTTAATTACTATACCTTTTATCGCGCTTAAGGCGCCCTTTACTTACCTTAAGGCGATCTTTTCTACTAGTACTTATATCTCTTATATAAGCGCCTTATTAACTATAGCGTAGTACTAGTAGCCCTTATCTATAAAGGCAGCGATAGGTAAAGAGTTATTAATTATAACCTATATTAAAGTAGGCTCCTTTTCTATATAAGTAGATAATTCCTCTTTCTCCTTTACTAGTATTAGTAATTAAGGCTTTAGAGCCTATTTTTACTTTAAAGCTACTCTTTTTCCTCTAAGCTTAGGGGCGCGGAGTCCTTTTTATTATTTAAGGTTAAAAGTAGTTTTATCTTCGCTATCTAAACTACTATAGGCCGCTTAGCTAAAAAGAAGGGGTATTTTAATATAAAGTATATAAACGCGCTATAACGTAAGTAGCGGCCGTTAGCCTTCTTTTTCCTAATTTCCTTACTTATTACTTACTTCGCCCGCTACTTAAAATATAGGATAATATAAGGGATATTTAATAATAACTTCCTACCGCGTTTAGTTCGGTCTATATAGGTAGCCGTATAAGAATATACCCTTATATTCCTATTTTACTATTATAAAGAAATAATAGGCATAGGGAGGCTTTATAGAATAAGCTAGTAAAAAGAGGCTCTATAATATAGTCTAAGGGAATAACCCTTAAAGATAAAGACCTTTACTAGATATCTATACCTTCCTTTAGGAAAAGCGGGTTAAGATAAGCCTATCCTAATAAAATAAAATATATATAAAATACATAAGTTTAATTACGAGCAGAACGGATACCCTATTGCTTATTTTAGCCTAGCGGTTCCGAAGATATCCGCGATATAAGAATAGGTAGGGCATAGAATATTCTAGTTAAATCCACTACTTATACTAGAACCTATTATCTTACGTTAACCATCACGCTATAATTAGA